ACGTATGTTGCGCCATCAAACTCCTACCTTGAGGCGGTTAATCTGACGACTTGCGTTGGTTAATAAAACTGATACAGAATATTGAAAATGAAAAGCTTGTAAATTTATATACACACGTATTTTGGAATTTATTACAAAATAATAAACATATGGAACAGCAGTAATATATAGATATACAATTCCTACGCGCGTATACAGAAAGATGGTAAATCTTATAGTTATAATATGAGTAAATAATGATAGAGAAAATACAATAATAATAACAAATGATACGACCGTGCGACTGATTATATTATGACGGCGGAGGTTGAGATATCAGCGTACAGTGTCCGACGGAGTGGTACCAACAGACTCGGCAATGGTGACGGCAGCTACAAAATTGTCATACTCAATGACCGACGTTGTGTAACACCAACAGCGACAACTACGTACGATGCCCACTACCGGCGGCGTTACGTGATAACACGCAATACAACTTAAATGTCGTTTACATATACCGAAGCGATGGTGAAGCGACGTTTAATACTAGAGCATCAATGCACGGCCGTAAACGTAGGCAACAGGCAGTAACAGTGGCGAACGATAGTCGACAATAAGTTAGTACCTACTAACTTTCAGAGACGACAGACCCGTACAGCAGTCGTGCTGGTCCGGAGTATAACTGAATGCGGTAACAGGACGATGTACGCCACACAGAGCTGGCGACACGAAAACCACAGAGATAAAACACCGTTGACCGGCCGTCTGGACCAAAGTCCGCGGGTGATCACGACTCTGTGCACAGATACGTGAAATCGGTCAAAACGGTGGCGCGTCGATAATCGTAATCTCCAACATTCTCCCCCATGTGAGGGTGCGATGATCCAGCCTCACATTGTGAAGATCTCTTTTGATTGATGATGATGTATCTCTTGGGATTTGCTGATTTTGTTGAATCGTGACATAACATAGACACCGGTGAAATGTCAAAAATCAGGCGCACAGACGTTTACAGTTCAACAGACAAAGTGGACATTTTTTTTTTTTGACAAAGAGGAGAAAATTTCATATTACATTATTTTTTTTTTTTAAGGTACATAAGGAACAGAAAAGAAATATGGAAGTGTTTTAATATCTATGTACATTATTTAAGAAGAAGGATTGCAACCATCGATTCGACCTTTAATCCATGGGCAACAATACCAACTTAACGACCGGACGGGTTAACTCCCCCGTGGATGTTAGTATCTTGGCGACTCGTATCACGCCATCTTGGCCAGGATTCGCTTCCAGAATGCGACCCAATCGCCAGGATGTTGGAGGAATTTGGTTATTCTTGATCACGACCATTTGTCCAACCTGAATGTTGGGCACATCCGTTGTCCACTTGCCCCGGACTTGAAGAGAAGCCAAATATTCCGTAGACCAACGACGCCAGAATGATTGGTGACATTGATGTAGCAGCTTCCATCGTGTCAGCACATTGGAACGTCCTTCGGGAATGTTCAAATCAGGAACCGCCAGAAGTGGTTGCCCGATAAGAAAATGACCAGGTGATAAATAGTCCAAATCTAAGGGAGAAGCAGTCATTGGAGTCAGAGGTCTGGAGTTTAACACAGCTTCGATCCGACACAGTAAGGTTGACATCTCCTCCATGGTAAGGGTATGATCACCGACGGTTCGTACAAGGAGCGTTTTAAAAGAACGCACAGCCGCTTCCCATAGGCCACCAAAATGAGGTGCTGCGGGTGGATTGAAGTGCCACGTGCAGAAAGAATGAGATGACAGTAGATGGTGATTAGCTGGATCGTTGATGACCTCAAACAGATATTTTGACGCACCTTTGAAGTTGGTTCCACAGTCGGAGTACACGTCTGTTGGAAGACCACGTCTGGCAACAAAACGATCGAAGCCGGCTAAAAAGGCTGCTGTAGATAGCTCTGTTACAATTTCCAAATGCACAGCCTTGGTGACCATACAGACAAAAACAGAAACGTAAATTTTATAATGTCGGGATTTTCGCAACTTACTCTCACGCATTGGCAGTGGGCCAGCATAATCTACTCCAACTTTTGAAAAGGGTCGACATGCTTGGACTCGTGAACTGGGAAGATTACCCATCACGGGATGTGGCGATTGGGCAATAGCTCTGACACATGGAGTACATTGACCGATCACCTTGCGAATTACCGATCTCATCGATAAGATCCAAAATTGCCGTATGATTAAAGACGTGATGACTCGGGGGCCTGAGTGGCACGTAACTAAGTGCCAGTGGCGTGCAATTAACAAAGAAAGGTGTGACTCCTTGGACAGCAGCATCGGATGTTTTTCCGCATCAGCTAAATCAGACTTCAGTAATCGGCCACCAACACACACAATATTTTGCGAATTCAGAAATGGCCGTAGACTAGATAATGGGCGAGCTGCACCACGGCCACGTGACAGATCCAAAATCAGCTCAGGAAACCAACGTTGTTGAGAAGATTGTACAATTACCATTAACGAATGATTTATCTCTTCACGTGACAAGAAATTGTTGGAATACGTTCGTTTCTTACATAAGCCGATAAACCTGCGCATCCAAGCGACGACCTTGATCATATTGATAAAAGACGAGAAGCGACAGAACCATTCTTTATTTGAGGTAACTTGAACGGCCAGCGACACGGGTTTGAACTCTGGTAGTTGTTCAACAGGAACCGAAGGGACCAGCATGCTCCAAGTTTCAATTGGGTTTTTTAGGAACGTAGGGCCGGACCAATACAATGCATGTACGGGTAGCTCCGAAGGGAGTATTCCTCTTGAAGCACAGTCGGCAGGATTTTCAGCTGAGCGTACATAGAGCCAGCGGCATGACGGAATAAGTTGACGCACCTGATGTACACGATTTGAAATGAACACCTTAAAGGAAACATGCGAGTTCATTAACCAGGCCAAAGCGACTTGGGAATCGGACCAGGCGTAAAGCCCGTTAATCGTGAGTTTCCCATCGAACATTTTTAATATGCGCGCCATCCATCGAGCGAGCAAAACTGAAGCACATAATTCAAGTCTCGGGATGGATACGGTTTTCATCGGTGCCATCTTTGTTTTGGATCCAAGCAGGAACACAGATACGTCGTCGTCTGAAACTGTTACCCGAAGGTATACCACTGCAGCGAATCCGCGTTCGGAGGCGTCACAGAATCCACACAATTCGACGTATGATTGACGTTGAGTAGCGACATAACGTGGAATCTTGATCTCAGATAGAACCGGTAGCTCATCCGTAAATGTTTTCCAATTCTGACATAATTTCGGAGGTAAAGGGTCGTCCCATGCCAATTCCTCTTCCCAAATTTCATGTAGGATATGTTTAGCATAGAAGGTCACCGGCGCTAAAAACCCAATAGGGTCAAAAATGCGAGCGATAGTCGATAGAATTGCCCGCTTTGTGACGACGGCGGTGGTTGAATGGCCGTTGAATTTAAAAATGTCTTTGGCCGGATCCCACTGCAGCCCCAGGACCTTGGTGGTTTCACAAACGTCTTCATCGAAGCTTAGACTTTCCATGACACGATCCTCTGGCGATACAGCTTCTAACACAGGTACGGTGTTACTCGACCACTTCTTTAACTCAAGACCAGCACGTTTCAGGACGGAACAAAGATTTGACTGTAAAGTCAACAATTCATCCTCGGTGTCGGCACCAAGACAAATGTCATCTACATAGGTTTGTTCCCTCAGCCCCAATTGTACTTCAGGAAATCCTGTACAATCATTGTCAGCGATATCCTTTAAGACTCTCAATGCCAGAAAGGGGGCACTATTGATGCCGTATGTCACGGTATTGAGCTGATACTCTTTCAACTCGTCTAGTGGAGATGGCCTCCATAGAATGTGCTGAAAGCGACGGTATTCTGGAAGAACGAGAATTTGCCTGTACATCTTGCAGACATCTGCAGTAAAGACGAACTGGTGAAGTCGGAATCGAAATAGAATGTCCACGATATCCAGCTGTAACTTCGGACCGGCGTATAGACATTGATTTAATGACAACAGAGAGGCAGCCTTAGCCGATCCATCGAATACCACTCGGATTTTGCTCGATGGACAGTTGAGCTTGAAAACAGGGTGATGAGGAATGAAGTAGGCACCAGGTTCAGTGGCAGCTGACATATGACCTAAGGTTTCATACTCGCTCATAAAATGCTTGTATGCGGTATATAGCACATCGTCGTTTTGAAGCTTCCGCTCAAGGTTTTGAAAACGACGTTCGGCAATATTGCGAGAACCAGGAAATGTTTCATCGCGGTGTTTCGGTATGAATGGCAAAGGAACTAGGAATCGACCAAAGTTGTCTCGACGGCTTTCAGAAGCATAAATGGACTCACATTGTCCATCACTAGTAAACGTAGTAGGAGCTTCATCCGGTTCTTCGAGTTGCCAAAAACGTTGGACCAGCCCTTCCAGTGATACCGACAGGGATACAGCGGTGTTACAATGGTACGGTTGAACAGGGAGTTCGCCTATCAAGACCCAACCAAAGACTGATCCGTATGCGACAGGTAGAGAATCATCGATTGACACCCGTTTTCCATCCATGATTCGAGCAAACACGTCTGCTCCCAGTAACATATCAATAGATGCGGACCGGTCAAAGTGAGGGTCAGCTAGTGCAAGATGGGAATACTTGTCCTTGATGAGCTTCGGTAGATGTTGAGATGGCATATCTGAAACTATAGTTGGCATGACCCAAGCAGTTAAGGAAAATGTTGGGTCCGTAGTATGTCTGGGCGTCATATAACAATTGACTTTTCCTGATATTGTTGGTATCGATACGCCAGTCAAGCCAGTTATCGGTGCGGTCCATCTACTTCTTTTTAGTCCCAGACGATCCACACAGGCGATGGACATGGCGGTGATCTGAGAAGCAGAGTCAATAAGAACTCGAACAGATTGCATATAACCAGCCCGGTCACGCACGTGAACTAAGGCTGTTCCCAAAAGTACAGTTGTTTTGTTTAGTGAGCTCGTAATTGAGGAGGTTGTTGACGCTGTGACAGCCGGAGTCGAGTCAGAAGACGACGAGGGCTTACTTACAGGGTGTAATAAAGTGTGATGACGACCAGAACACTTAGTACACGGTTTGGCTGTTTTACAATGATTAGACCAATGAGTTGAATTAAGACACCGAAAACAGATCCTAGTCTTACGGGCGACGTCATACCTCTCATCCAGAGACATTTTTGAAAATTCATTACACGCGACTGATGCATGGCTTCCCGAACAGAACAGACACTTTGATGAGGTCGGAGCGTCAGTCTTTGAAGACAGCAACGAAACCTTCGAACCTTTTGATCCAAACCTAGTTGGAACTGGTTTCGACTGACTATGAGTGTGAGCAGGATGTTTTGGAACATTAGAACAGTTGACTGCCTCCAGAAGTGATACACGGGCCTTGACGTATGCAGCAATATCCGAAAACTCAGGAAATTCAGTATTATTCGTCTCTTCAAATGCCTTGCGAGTGAACAACGGTAAACAGCGCGCAGACAATGCGAACAGAAGAAACTCACCGAGGTTCGGAATGTTCAACGATTTAAGCACTGACACGTGGTCCGAAAACAAACTTATAAAATCTTTTAAACTTTCTACTGTTTCTTGTGAATGGACAGGGGCAGTTATGAGTTTGTCGACGATAATTGTCGCTAACTGCCTTGGCTTGTCAAAACGCTCAACCAAAGTTGACCAAGCGAGGTCATAGGTGCTCTCAGATACCGGGATGTTTCTTACGGCATGAAGAGCTTCACCGGTAAGGCACCCTAAGAGGTAATAGAACCGTTCTATATTTGTAAGCTCGGTATCTTTCACAACACGTACGGTAAAACGATCACGAAAAACAGGCCACCCTGACAATTCTCCGTCAAACGACGGCAATGGAATTTCCGGTAGACGTGATGACCGTTGAATTTTGGGTGGAACGGCATCCGGAGTCTCAGTCGGTGTTAAAGCTTCAGCAACAGATATAGATTCGTCGACAAGAGCACGAATTTCCGACGGAAGTACTTCACTATATTTAGCATATGTGCCCAACGCGATCATACACTCGAGCGCCATGCTATCCTCCAATTCAAATTGCGTCCACAAGCTATTTAAGTTGCGAGCGGCGACTAAGAATTTTGGAACTACATCACTATTAGTGGATGCTTTCACGGACAATGCATGAATCGCGCGAATACTTGCGATAGCGCTATCCCGTTTAAATGTCGCTTTGATTCGACGTCGTTCTACTCGCTCCTGTTCTTTAGATTCTTTATCTTCAAGGTCAGGCATTATGGTAAGGATAGGAAACGAAATACTAAGCTGAAGGAGTACCTATACAATTACTTAACTTACGTGTGTATTCACCTCAGATGTGAATGAGAAAAAATCTACAATATTTTTTAACAAGTTATACTACAGAATAGCTATACTACAGAGTTATACTATTTATACTACAGACACATCAAATAATACTGCATTACACTGAATACAATACAGTAACAAGTTTATTAACAGAACGCTACTAATTTTTGTGGTAAAAACCACGCTCTGCTACCAAATGTTGCGCCATCAAACTCCTACCTTGAGGCGGTTAATCTGACGACTTGCGTTGGTTAATAAAACTGATACAGAATATTGAAAATGAAAAGCTTGTAAATTTATATACACACGTATTTTGGAATTTATTACAAAATAATAAACATATGGAACAGCAGTAATATATAGATATACAATTCCTACGCGCGTATACAGAAAGATGGTAAATCTTATAGTTATAATATGAGTAAATAATGATAGAGAAAATACAATAATAATAACAAATGATACGACCGTGCGACTGATTATATTATGACGGCGGAGGTTGAGATATCAGCGTACAGTGTCCGACGGAGTGGTACCAACAGACTCGGCAATGGTGACGGCAGCTACAAAATTGTCATACTCAATGACCGACGTTGTGTAACACCAACAGCGACAACTACGTACGATGCCCACTACCGGCGGCGTTACGTGATAACACGCAATACAACTTAAATGTCGTTTACATATACCGAAGCGATGGTGAAGCGACGTTTAATACTAGAGCATCAATGCACGGCCGTAAACGTAGGCAACAGGCAGTAACAGTGGCGAACGATAGTCGACAATAAGTTAGTACCTACTAACTTTCAGAGACGACAGACCCGTACAGCAGTCGTGCTGGTCCGGAGTATAACTGAATGCGGTAACAGGACGATGTACGCCACACAGAGCTGGCGACACGAAAACCACAGAGATAAAACACCGTTGACCGGCCGTCTGGACCAAAGTCCGCGGGTGATCACGACTCTGTGCACAGATACGTGAAATCGGTCAAAACGGTGGCGCGTCGATAATCGTAATCTCCAACATTCTCCCCCATGTGAGGGTGCGATGATCCAGCCTCACATTGTGAAGATCTCTTTTGATTGATGATGATGTATCTCTTGGGATTTGCTGATTTTGTTGAATCGTGACATAACATAGACACCGGTGAAATGTCAAAAATCAGGCGCACAGACGTTTACAGTTCAACAGACAAAGTGGACATTTTTTTTTTTTGACAAAGAGGAGAAAATTTCATATTACATTATTTTTTTTTTTTAAGGTACATAAGGAACAGAAAAGAAATATGGAAGTGTTTTAATATCTATGTACATTATTTAAGAAGAAGGATTGCAACCATCGATTCGACCTTTAATCCATGGGCAACAATACCAACTTAACGACCGGACGGGTTAACTCCCCCGTGGATGTTAGTATCTTGGCGACTCGTATCACGCCATCTTGGCCAGGATTCGCTTCCAGAATGCGACCCAATCGCCAGGATGTTGGAGGAATTTGGTTATTCTTGATCACGACCATTTGTCCAACCTGAATGTTGGGCACATCCGTTGTCCACTTGCCCCGGACTTGAAGAGAAGCCAAATATTCCGTAGACCAACGACGCCAGAATGATTGGTGACATTGATGTAGCAGCTTCCATCGTGTCAGCACATTGGAACGTCCTTCGGGAATGTTCAAATCAGGAACCGCCAGAAGTGGTTGCCCGATAAGAAAATGACCAGGTGATAAATAGTCCAAATCTAAGGGAGAAGCAGTCATTGGAGTCAGAGGTCTGGAGTTTAACACAGCTTCGATCCGACACAGTAAGGTTGACATCTCCTCCATGGTAAGGGTATGATCACCGACGGTTCGTACAAGGAGCGTTTTAAAAGAACGCACAGCCGCTTCCCATAGGCCACCAAAATGAGGTGCTGCGGGTGGATTGAAGTGCCACGTGCAGAAAGAATGAGATGACAGTAGATGGTGATTAGCTGGATCGTTGATGACCTCAAACAGATATTTTGACGCACCTTTGAAGTTGGTTCCACAGTCGGAGTACACGTCTGTTGGAAGACCACGTCTGGCAACAAAACGATCGAAGCCGGCTAAAAAGGCTGCTGTAGATAGCTCTGTTACAATTTCCAAATGCACAGCCTTGGTGACCATACAGACAAAAACAGAAACGTAAATTTTATAATGTCGGGATTTTCGCAACTTACTCTCACGCATTGGCAGTGGGCCAGCATAATCTACTCCAACTTTTGAAAAGGGTCGACATGCTTGGACTCGTGAACTGGGAAGATTACCCATCACGGGATGTGGCGATTGGGCAATAGCTCTGACACATGGAGTACATTGACCGATCACCTTGCGAATTACCGATCTCATCGATAAGATCCAAAATTGCCGTATGATTAAAGACGTGATGACTCGGGGGCCTGAGTGGCACGTAACTAAGTGCCAGTGGCGTGCAATTAACAAAGAAAGGTGTGACTCCTTGGACAGCAGCATCGGATGTTTTTCCGCATCAGCTAAATCAGACTTCAGTAATCGGCCACCAACACACACAATATTTTGCGAATTCAGAAATGGCCGTAGACTAGATAATGGGCGAGCTGCACCACGGCCACGTGACAGATCCAAAATCAGCTCAGGAAACCAACGTTGTTGAGAAGATTGTACAATTACCATTAACGAATGATTTATCTCTTCACGTGACAAGAAATTGTTGGAATACGTTCGTTTCTTACATAAGCCGATAAACCTGCGCATCCAAGCGACGACCTTGATCATATTGATAAAAGACGAGAAGCGACAGAACCATTCTTTATTTGAGGTAACTTGAACGGCCAGCGACACGGGTTTGAACTCTGGTAGTTGTTCAACAGGAACCGAAGGGACCAGCATGCTCCAAGTTTCAATTGGGTTTTTTAGGAACGTAGGGCCGGACCAATACAATGCATGTACGGGTAGCTCCGAAGGGAGTATTCCTCTTGAAGCACAGTCGGCAGGATTTTCAGCTGAGCGTACATAGAGCCAGCGGCATGACGGAATAAGTTGACGCACCTGATGTACACGATTTGAAATGAACACCTTAAAGGAAACATGCGAGTTCATTAACCAGGCCAAAGCGACTTGGGAATCGGACCAGGCGTAAAGCCCGTTAATCGTGAGTTTCCCATCGAACATTTTTAATATGCGCGCCATCCATCGAGCGAGCAAAACTGAAGCACATAATTCAAGTCTCGGGATGGATACGGTTTTCATCGGTGCCATCTTTGTTTTGGATCCAAGCAGGAACACAGATACGTCGTCGTCTGAAACTGTTACCCGAAGGTATACCACTGCAGCGAATCCGCGTTCGGAGGCGTCACAGAATCCACACAATTCGACGTATGATTGACGTTGAGTAGCGACATAACGTGGAATCTTGATCTCAGATAGAACCGGTAGCTCATCCGTAAATGTTTTCCAATTCTGACATAATTTCGGAGGTAAAGGGTCGTCCCATGCCAATTCCTCTTCCCAAATTTCATGTAGGATATGTTTAGCATAGAAGGTCACCGGCGCTAAAAACCCAATAGGGTCAAAAATGCGAGCGATAGTCGATAGAATTGCCCGCTTTGTGACGACGGCGGTGGTTGAATGGCCGTTGAATTTAAAAATGTCTTTGGCCGGATCCCACTGCAGCCCCAGGACCTTGGTGGTTTCACAAACGTCTTCATCGAAGCTTAGACTTTCCATGACACGATCCTCTGGCGATACAGCTTCTAACACAGGTACGGTGTTACTCGACCACTTCTTTAACTCAAGACCAGCACGTTTCAGGACGGAACAAAGATTTGACTGTAAAGTCAACAATTCATCCTCGGTGTCGGCACCAAGACAAATGTCATCTACATAGGTTTGTTCCCTCAGCCCCAATTGTACTTCAGGAAATCCTGTACAATCATTGTCAGCGATATCCTTTAAGACTCTCAATGCCAGAAAGGGGGCACTATTGATGCCGTATGTCACGGTATTGAGCTGATACTCTTTCAACTCGTCTAGTGGAGATGGCCTCCATAGAATGTGCTGAAAGCGACGGTATTCTGGAAGAACGAGAATTTGCCTGTACATCTTGCAGACATCTGCAGTAAAGACGAACTGGTGAAGTCGGAATCGAAATAGAATGTCCACGATATCCAGCTGTAACTTCGGACCGGCGTATAGACATTGATTTAATGACAACAGAGAGGCAGCCTTAGCCGATCCATCGAATACCACTCGGATTTTGCTCGATGGACAGTTGAGCTTGAAAACAGGGTGATGAGGAATGAAGTAGGCACCAGGTTCAGTGGCAGCTGACATATGACCTAAGGTTTCATACTCGCTCATAAAATGCTTGTATGCGGTATATAGCACATCGTCGTTTTGAAGCTTCCGCTCAAGGTTTTGAAAACGACGTTCGGCAATATTGCGAGAACCAGGAAATGTTTCATCGCGGTGTTTCGGTATGAATGGCAAAGGAACTAGGAATCGACCAAAGTTGTCTCGACGGCTTTCAGAAGCATAAATGGACTCACATTGTCCATCACTAGTAAACGTAGTAGGAGCTTCATCCGGTTCTTCGAGTTGCCAAAAACGTTGGACCAGCCCTTCCAGTGATACCGACAGGGATACAGCGGTGTTACAATGGTACGGTTGAACAGGGAGTTCGCCTATCAAGACCCAACCAAAGACTGATCCGTATGCGACAGGTAGAGAATCATCGATTGACACCCGTTTTCCATCCATGATTCGAGCAAACACGTCTGCTCCCAGTAACATATCAATAGATGCGGACCGGTCAAAGTGAGGGTCAGCTAGTGCAAGATGGGAATACTTGTCCTTGATGAGCTTCGGTAGATGTTGAGATGGCATATCTGAAACTATAGTTGGCATGACCCAAGCAGTTAAGGAAAATG